CCACTCACCTCAGCCTCCCAAAGGTGCGGGATTACAGGCTGAGCCACCCAGCCCGGCTAAAAATATTTTAACGAATAGAAAGTGGGTCTTGCTTTGTTGCTCAGGCTGATCTCGAACTCCTGAGCTCAAGCAGTCCTCCCATCTTGGCCTCACAAAGTGCTGCAATTATCTGAGCCACTGTGTCCAGCCAAATTGCTGTAGAACTACTTGCAAAAATCATGTCCCAAGTTATGGGGGAGGAGCCAGGAGGACCTGTGGAAGAAGAGGGGCCCCTATTCATATTTCTGTCTCCAACCCTTCAGGTTACCTGAACATCCAGTCCTGGCCTCCCCACATGCACAACTTCAGTGTTTTCTCCAACCTGACAACCATTGAAGGCAGAAGCCTCTACAAGTGAGTAAACGGGGTGGTGGTGGCTGCATCCTTCAGGCAACGAACCCTGTTTCGTGGGCACTCTTGAGTCAAGTTCGAGGCGCTATCTAGGGCAGGCCCAGAGGGTTTGAGAGTTTGATGGGGAAAAGGCGAAAGAAGGGCAGTTCCCCCTTGATGGGTCTGACTAGCACAGAGCAAATTTGCAGAAGAAGTGAATCTGCTATATGGGTAAGTTTCTCCGTTCTCATCCTGTCTCCTTATTCTCAGCCGGGGCTTCTCATTGTTGATCATGAAGAACTTGAATGTAACATCTCTGGGCCTCCGGTCCCTAAAGGAAATCAGTGCAGGGCGTGTCTACATAAGTGCCAATCGGCAGCTCTGCTACCACCATTCTTTGAACTGGACCAGGCTGCTCCGGGGGCCTTCGGAAGAGAGACTGGACATCAAGCACAACCGGCCCCGCAGGGAGTGTGGTGAGGGGCAGGGCCCGCTGGGTGGTGAGAACAGGTGGTCAGAAGAGGGATGGAGGGACTCTTCTGCCCTAGACATGGGAGTGGCGTTGGGAGGTGGAACCAAGGAGAAGGGGGATGTTAGTTGGGAAGCAGTATTGAGAGCACTTGTTAGGAGTTCTCAGGCTCCTCCCCTAATCCACCCCTTCCTTTCCAGTGGCAGAGGGCAAAGTGTGTGACCCACTGTGTTCCTCCGGGGGATGCTGGGGCCCAGGCCCTGGTCAGTGCTTATCCTGCCGAAACTACAGTCGAGGAGGCATCTGTGTGACCCACTGCAACTTTCTGAATGGGTACAGTGCACGGAGACAGTCAAGAAAGGGTGGGGTGGGATCCTGGAGTGGAGCTGTACAGGCATGAAGGTCAGGACTTGGAAGTGACCCTCCCCCCTTTTCCACCACTGCAGGGAGCCTCGTGAGTTTGCCCATGAGGCCGAATGCTTCTCCTGCCACCTGGAATGCCACCCCATGGAGGGCACTGCCACATGCAATGGCTCGGTATAGTAGCAGCACCAGAATCTACAAGGGAGAGAGGGAAGGGGCGGTACTTGGAGCATCTGGGGAATGATGTCGCCAAGTGTCAAGGACAGTTTGGGGAGACCAGGTAGTGCTAGAGTTTGGATGGAGGATCCTGAATGCCTGCGTTGGTCTTTGCTGGGAGGTATGGAATTGGCTTTGGGATCCAACTCTTCCTGACCTCCTCTCTTTCACTCAGGGCTCTGATGCTTGTGCTCAATGTGCCCATTTTCGTGATGGGCCTCACTGTGTGAGCAGATGCCCCCATGGCGTCCTAGGTGCCAAGGGCCCCATCTACAAGTACCCGGATGTTCATAATGAGTGTTGGCCCTGCCATGAGAACTGCACGCAGGGGTCAGTGATGGGATCATAAGAAGAGGGGATCAGGAGGAAGGGTGGGAACACAGAGCTAGGGTAAGGGGAGAAAGAAGAGAGCGCTGTGTATACTCCCGGCACAATTACAGCACAAAATTACACCAGTTTTGGGATAATAACCTTAGCTCAGGGAAGTTTCTTTCAAGAGGGGCTCAGGGAGGGTTGGTGAGCTGGGATGCAGCCATGTCTTAGGACAGGCTTTGAGCTCTGGGATGGGATGCAGTTGTAGATTCTGAAACAAGCTTTTTGTTGTGGAGGCTATAGGAACTGAGTCTCTGCTGTCCAAGCTCCCATTTAAGGTGGTGACTTCTTTTCTAGGTGTAAAGGTCCAGAACTTCAAGACTGTTTAGGGCAACCCCCGGAGCTGATCGGGTATGATTGGGCTTGGAGATTCTGGAAGCTGGGGATGTTTGGGAGGTGGGAGAGCGGTGGTTACCTGCAGGGAAGAATAAGGCTCCATTCATTCTGGCCTTTAAATACACAGTCCACTAACACTGGACTTGGGACACAACAGCCTGGCCTCCAGACTTCCCTTCCTAAAGTTAACTTTTAATAGCTGGTCCTGTCAGTGCTCAAGGATATATACGTGTGTGTGTGTGTGTGTGTGTGTGTGTGTGTGTGTGTGCGCGCGCATTAACTTCTTGCCCCAGATCTGCACCATATCTTCAGTGCAAGCATAGATGAGATTTGTAAGGAAGATGTAAGCCTGGGATAATGTTGGATTTCTCTGTATCCCATAGCAAAACCCATCTGACAATGGCTTTGGCAGTGATAGCAGGATTGGTAGCGATTTTCATCCTCCTAGGAGGCACTTTTCTATATTGGCGTGGGCGCCGGATTCAGAATAAAAGGGCTATGCGGCGCTACTTAGAACGGGGTGAGGTGAGTACTTAGTACTTAATTTTGAGATACCCTGTGCTGTGTGCATCTGGGGGTCAGCGATAGGATGAGCATTATACCTCTCCTCTTTCCCCAGAGATTTGATCCCTTTCCTCAAGGAGATAGTGTAGTCCGCTAGAAAGAACACTGGCCAGAGAAACGGGAGGCATGCATTCTAGTCCTGATTTTGCTATTAACTTGCCTCCTCTGTGCCTCAGTTTATGCACCTATACAGAGAAAAATAACATTCATCCTTCCTGGATGATTGTAAGGATAGAAGGGGGTGGTGAATGTAGAAGTGCTTTGAAAAGCATAGAACCATGGAATGGTACTCGAGGTGGCAATGGTATTACCAAATCCCCAGCCACCCCCTGGCTCTTGTTCCCTCATCAAAGGAAAACCCACCCCTCTTTTTTTTGAGCTGGAGTCTCACTGTCACCCAGGTTGGAGTGCAGTGGCATGCTCACAGCCACCACAGCTTTGACCTGCTGGACTCAGGCGATCCTTCTGCCTCAGCCTTCCAAGTGGCTGGAACTACAAGTACACATCACCACGCCCGGCTAATTTTTTGATTTATTGTAGCCAGGAGGTCTCACCAAGTTGCCCAGGCTGGTCTTGAACCCATGGGCTCAGGCAACCCTCTCCACCTCGGCCTCCAAAAGTGCTGGGATTATAGGCATGAGCCACCGCCACACACAGCCTTTTTTTTTTTTTTTTTTTTGAGTAGGAGTCACTTGTCGCCCAGGCTGGAGTGCAGTGGCATGCTCATGGCCACTGCAGCCTCGACTTGGTGGGCTCAGGCAATGCTTCCGCCTCAGTCTTCCAAGTAGCTGGAACCACAGACACGCACCACCACACCCAGCTAATTTTTTTAATTTATTGTAGAGATGAGGTCTCACCAAGTTGCCCAGGCTGGTCTCGAACCCATGGGCTCAGGCAATCCTCTCGCCTCTACTTCCCAAAGTGCTGTCATTACAGGTGTGCGCCACCACGCCCAGCTAACCCAACCCTCTTGATTCCTGATCTCATGAGCACAAACAACTTTCCTTAGTCTCCAGGGACTGCTTATTCATGTGCCGGGCCCAAACAGTCCCTCTTCCTGCTCTTTGGGCTCTGCTGTTTTGGCGCCCACCTACGGGGAGCAGGTTGGGCTGGGATATGGGAGTGGGCTGCCCTGAGTTCCTCCTTCCCGTTCGCTCCTCAGAGCATAGAGCCGTTGGATCCCAGTGAGAAGGCTAACAAAGTCCTGGCCAGAATCTTCAAGGAGACAGAGCTGAGGAAGCTTAAAGTGCTTGGCTCAGGTGTCTTTGGAACTGTGCACAAAGTGAGTGACGCATAGGTCTGGATGGTGGGGGAGGCTCTAGGGAAAGGGGAGAAGGACGTCAAAGGACTGACCTGGGGAGAAGAACCCCAGGCTGACTCTCGTCCCAAACTTCCCAGGGAGTGTGGATCCCTGAGGGTGAATCAATCAAGATTCCAGTGTGCATTAAAGTCATCGAGGACAAGAGTGGACGGCAAAGTTTTCAGGCTGTGACAGACGTAAGTGAAGGAAAAGGATTCTGCGGCCACTGGGAGAGAAGAGAGTGTTAGACACAACCACACAGAAGCATGGCCTGTGCTTTTATCTAAGGCAGCTACTGTGTCAGCTACTCCATTAGCCCTGTTGACGTACTTGAGTGCTGGGGGAGCCCTGGGCTGGGTGCACACGTGCTGAATGTGTGTGGACCTGTTTCCTGGACAACACCTCTTTGCCTCTTAGCATATGCTGGCCATTGGCAGCCTAGACCATGCCCACATCGTACGGCTGCTGGGACTATGCCCAGGGTCATCTCTGCAGCTTGTCACCCAGTACTTGCCTCTGGGTTCCCTGCTGGATCACGTGAGACAACACCGGGGGGCGCTGGGGCCACAACTCCTGCTCAACTGGGGAGTCCAAATTGCCAAGGTGAGGGGAGCCTGGAGGAATTCTCTAAGAGCTGCCTGACTGGGGGAAGGCAGAGAGGGGTGGGAAGGCTGAAGTTCTGAGCGGTGCCTCCAGGGTTGGGGGGATCCTGGGTCTCGGTGACCAATCCCCCAGCCCTGAGAATACCTTACTCCCCCGTAGGGCATGTACTACCTTGAGGAGCACAGCATGGTGCACAGGAACCTGGCTGCCCGAAATGTGCTCCTCAAGTCACCCAGTCAGGTTCAGGTGGCAGACTTTGGTGTGGCTGACCTGCTGCCGCCCGATGACAAGCAGCTACCGCACAGTGAGGCCAAGGTGTGGTGACACGAAGGCTGGGTGAGGAGGTCGGGTGGGAGAAGCGCGGGGCAGGGTGCAGGCAGAGAGTGGTCCCCTCCAGAGGCAGCAGATGCTTCATGGTCAGTGTGAGGAGAGGAAGCAAATGAAGTTCAGAGAGCAAAATAGCAAGAACGGTGTAGCACGTGGGGCTTGGAAATGCTGAGAACACTTGTTGAAATCAGCGGGTGGCCCTTTATCTTTACTCCTCAGACTCCAATTAAGTGGATGGCCCTCGAGAGTATCCACTTCGGGAAATACACACACCAGAGTGACGTCTGGAGCTATGGTCAGTACAGCTGATGCCCTCCATTCCATCACTTGCCCAGACTTCACAGCTGCCTGTGGAGACACCTCTTAGAATCCCCAAGACTTCAGACCCTTGTGTCAGATGCGGTCACCTCACGCCGTGTCTACTATTTTGCTATCAACCAGCCCGTTTTTTCCTGTACCAGGTGTGACAGTCTGGGAGTTGATGACCTTCGGGGCAGAGCCCTATGCAGGGCTGCGATTGGCTGAAGTACCAGACCTGCTAGAGAAGGGGGAGCGGCTGGCACAGCCCCAGATCTGTACCATTGATGTTTACATGGTGATGGTCAAATGTGAGTTAACTGCTGGCCCCAGCCACTTCCTGGCTTCCCTCCACACTCCTCTTACGGCTCTATTCCCTTTCATGTCTCTACCGCCCACCTCTTATCTCCAGGTTGGATGATTGATGAAAACATTCGCCCAACCTTTAAAGAACTAGCCAATGAGTTTACCCGGATGGCCCGAGACCCACCACGGTATCTGGTCATAAAGGTGAGTAGGGAGCAGGTGGTGTCACGGAAGTTTACAGAAAGGAGCAATTGGCTGGAACTAGGATCCACCCTGACAAACACCTGTCCCCACAGAGAGAGAGTGGGCCTGGACTGGCCCCTGGGGCTGAACCCCCAGCTCTGACAAACAAAGAACTGGAAGAAGTAGAGCTGGAGCCAGAACTAGACCTAGACCTAGACCTGGAAGCAGAGGAGGACAACCTGGCAGCCACCCTGGGCTCTGCCCTCAGTCTACCAGTTGGAACACTTACTCGCCCCCGTGGGGTAAGACACCTGCTAATCACCAATGCCCTGAGCCCTCATGAACCCAACAGATACCCAGATGAACTACTCAAACGCCCCTATAGAGAAGTTAGATTTCTTCATCTTAACCTTTTTCATCCTAGAGCCAGAGCCTTTTAAGTCCATCATCTGGATACATGCCCATGAACCAGGGCAATCTTGAGGAGGCTTGTCAGGTAAGATCTGCTGCTGAGAGGCTGGGTCTTAGGATCAGACAGATAGAAGGAATGTGGGAGGCATTAGAAACCTCTGAGCCAGGCTCGGTGGCTCAGCCTGTAATCCCGCGCCTCTGGGAGGCTGAGGTGAGTGGATTGCCTGAGCCCATGGGTTCGAGACCCGCCTGGGCAGCAAGATCTCATCTCTACAATAAAATTAAAAAATCAGCCGGGAGTGGAAGCGTGCGCCTGTAATTCCGGCTACTTGGAAGGCTGAGGCGGAAGGATCGCTGGAGCCCAGCAGGTCGAGGCTGCGGTGGCCGGGAGCAGCCACTGCACTCCAGTCTGGGCGACAGAGTGAGACTCCAACTCAAAAAGAAAAAGAAAAAACAAACAAACAAAAAAACCTCTGAGGTTTGCCAGGCATGGTGGCTCACGCCTGTAATCCCTGCACTTAGGGAAGCCAAGGTGAGGTGAGAGGATTTCCAGAGTCCATGGGGTTCAAGAACAGCCTGGGCAACTTGGCGAGACAACGTCTCTACAATAAATCAAAAAATTAGCCAGGGGGAGGGGCACACCTCATCAACAAGGGTACCTGCATAATGAATATTTGTATACCTAACCTTGAGTTGTAACCTACATCTATTTTTTTTTAATTTTTTAGAAAACAGGATTTATTGAGAGGACAGAAAAGCTCCCACAGTGGGAGGGGACCTGAGGGGATTGCCTTCCCTACATCTTTAAAATAAAAAATTTTCATACACACAAAAAAATTAGTTGGGGGTGGTGGTGCATGCCTGTAGTTCCAGGTACTTGGAAGGATCACCTGAGCCCAGCAGGTTGAGGCTGCAGTGGCCATGAGCGTGCCACTGCACTCTAGCCTGGGCGACAGAGCAAGACTCAAAAAAAAAGCAACCTCTGAGGTTTAATCAGTGTCTTGCAAAAAAAAAAAAAAAAAAAAGGCAGTGAACAACCCAGTCTCCTTGTAAACAAATGTCCCTTCTTCCTCATCTCTGTAAATCTCCTTGTATCATTTTCTGCTTATATTCTTCCCTAGGAGCCTGCAGTTTGTGGAGGCAGTGAACGGTGTCCCCGCCCAGTCTCCCTGCACCCAATACCTCGGGGACGCCTGGCATCGGAGTCATCAGAGGGCCACGTGACAGGCTCCGAGGTCGAATTCCAGGAGAAGGTGTCAAGGTGCCGGAGCCGGAGCCGGAGCCCACGGCCACGTGGAGACAGTGCCTACCATTCCCAGCGCCACAGTCTGCTTACTCCTGTCACCCCACTCTCCCCGCCAGGGTTAGAAGAAGAGGACGTCAATGGCTATGTCATGCCAGATACGCACCTCAAAGGTGAAGACTCTTCCTAGTGTTTTCCTCAGTTCTTCCTCGAATCCTTTCCCCAGGCTCCTCTGGATTCTTTTGTTTGATCACATGCCTCCCTATTCATTTTCCTAACTCTCCCCCCTACCCTCCCCACTGCTTATTTCCCTGGAGTTCTTCACACACGCAGTCTCTCTTCTCCACCCCAGGTACTCCCTCCTCCCGGGAAGGCACTCTTTCTTCAGTGGGTCTCAGTTCTGTCCTGGGAACTGAAGAAGAAGATGAAGATGAGGAGTATGAATACATGAACCGGAGGAGAAGGCACAGTCCACCTCGTCCCCCTAGGCCAGGTTCCCTTGAGGAGCTGGGTTATGAGTACATGGACTTGGGATCAGACCTCAGTGCCTCTCTGGGCAGCACACAGAGTTGCCCACTCCACCCTGTGCCCATCATGCCCGCTGCTGGCACATCTCCAGATGAGGACTACGAATATATGAATCGGCAGCGTGGTGGAGGGGGTCCTGGAGGGGATTATGCTGCCATGGGGGCCTGCCCAGCAGCTGAGCAAGGGTATGAGGAGATGAGAGCTTTCCAGGGGCCAGGACACCATGTCCCCCATGTCCATAACGCCCACCTCAAAACTCTGCGGAGCTTAGAAGCCACAGACTCTGCCTTTGATAACCCTGACTACTGGCATAGCAGGCTTTTCCCCAAGGCGAATGCCCAGAGAACATAACCCCTGCTCCTGAGGCACCCAGGGAGCACTGCGGCAGCTACTGCCTCCAGAGGGTACCCCTCTTCTCCCTACTCTCCCTCCACCACCCCCTGCATCCCAGCCCCATTTTCCCAGTCCTAGACAATTCCATTCAACCTTTGGAGGCTCTTAAACACCCTGACACACAATTCTTGTGGTATATGGCCAGCTGTGCACTTTCTTCTTTCCCAAGCCCAGGAAAGGAGAAGGTTTTCCCTATTTTGTGTGCTTTCCCAATCTCATTCCTCAGTTAGTCCCCACAGGGACTCCTGGAGATATGAAGGATTCCTCTCCAAATCCCTTGCTCTCAGGCTCTGATTTGCTGGGACCAGGCTCATCAGCGTGCCTTTGTTTCCTATCAGACTGTTCTAAGGAAGAGGAAAAGGAGGAAACCCAGCAGGGGAAAGTAAAATTTTGGCTTATGACTCTTAACCCTCTAGAAAGACTGGTAAGGTTAAAATTTTGTGGAGTAAGGAAAGAGGTTAGGAGTAGATACTGATTACTGTTAATGGAGCACTTAACTATGAGCCAGGCATCATGCAAAACTCTACCTACGTTATCTCACTTAATCCTTTATCTGTGAGTTAGGTATTCCACTTTACAAAAAAGGAAACTGAGCCTTAGAGAGATTAAGTAAATTAAACAGCAGGTCCAGGATTCATAGTCTTCCCAATTCCAGCGTGTGTGGTCTTACTATAAGGTATCAATGAAAACTGATTTAAGTCACAGCCCTTGTGAGGGGCATTGTTTTCGTTTTTGCACTGAATCAAGTCTACCCAACAGCCACATCCTCCTCCTGTATCCAGACCTGTCATCTCAGGAAGTGGTGTGTGCTGGGGGGTATCAGAAGGAAAAGTAGCTGGACATCTTTGTGTAAACCATAACCCATGTGTGCTGTAGATGACCTCCACTCCTTACCCAAGGGCATGTTCACATGGGTCCCCAAGATCCACTTTGAGGAGTTATCTTGCTCAGTCATGAGAAGCTTCCAGGGAGGATAGAAGACCCAGCTTCAGACCTCTGCCCCCTTGGATGGGAAACTGGGGAGAAATGTCCGTGTATCACTGAAGTTTTTTGTTTTGTTTTTATACACGTCTGAATAAAAATGCCAAAGTTTTTTCAGCTTCCTGTCTGTCAAATGAAAACATTTAATGTATTAGACAAAAGATCACCCCTTTTCTCTGCTCCTTAGAACACAGTAACTTTCTGTCTTCAGAAGACAGTCCTCTGCCCCGACCAGCTTTTTCCAGCCCTGCTTTTACTGGTATAGTTCCGTAAAACAGGAAGAGTACATAATCCTTTTTCATTTAAGAGTTTTACTAGCTGGGCACAGTGGTTCATGCCTGTAATCCCAGTACTTTGGGAAGCAGAGGTGAGAGGACTGCAACCAACCTGAGCAACCTGACGAGACCTTGTCTCTACAGTAAATCAAAAAATTAGTGACCCACCTGGGCAGGCGAGACCTCATCTCTACAATAAATCAAAAAATTAGCCGGGCATGGTAGCGTGCGCCTTAGTTCCAGCCACTTGGAAGGCTGAAGCCGAAGGATCGCCGGAGCCCAGCAGGTCGAGGCTGCGGTGGCCAGGAGCGGCCACTGTACTCTAGTCTGGGCGACAGAGTGAGACTCTAACTCAAAAAAAAAAAAAAAAAA